ACGTGCGGAGATGGGGCATCTGGGGGCCGGAGAGAGTAGCGACCCCCCCCCTCCCAAAGACCAGTTTGAATAACTGTCCAAATATGGTCAGCAGGCCCATTCTAGGGGTCTGTGGGGGGGGGGGAAGTTTGGCTAACCAGAACCTTTTCTCATTACTTTACATTACAACCCCCCCCACCCCCCCATGCAGAAAGAGATGGGGCTGCATTTGACAATAAAAATAATCAGGTTTCCACAAGCTTCCTCGTGTGTTATATATGACCACGGTGTTGGAGTGCTGGTGTTACAGATCGATGCCGAGCGTGTGTGTGTTCGGCGTGTCCGGGGACGTACCACGGTAACGGAGACATTCTCCGGCAGAAACCCTAAGCTGGGGTGTTGTTGTGTTTTCGAAAATGACATGCAGAGAGCAAACACATGAAACTTTACAAGTTTGTTTATCACTCTGTGAAACAAGTGCTGAGATGGGAAACAGCAGAAACGCTTCACGGATCGTCTCTGATAAGCGTTCGAGCGCGACCGCCTCTGCTCGCCAAAGGCGACAGAAACCTCGTGGATTTGCGAGGGCGGTCCTGCCTTTGCTCACCATGTCAATCCCAAACCCAGTAAAGTGCTTTACTGGAAAAAAAATCAACCGTCCATCAGATTCACGAAAATTACTGTACCTCTGCCAATAGCTATATGCTAATACTTTGATCTGTGCTCTTCATGGGAGCTGGAGTACAGGGTCAGAGAGCCGGGCATGCAGGCCCTCTGGAGCAGCTGGGGTTAATGGTCTTGCTCAAGGCCCCAGCAACAACATGATTATTCTTCCAGTCATGGGATTCAAACTCACAACCTTCCGGCAATGGGATTCAAACCCACATTCCGGCCATAGATCCCTAATTCACTGAGATTCATACCACCCCACCAATCAGAGTTAGCAAACATGATCTTGAGGAAGAGCTGATTGTATCATGGAGGTTTACTCATTTTAGGGGTAACTGTCAGTAAACTGCATAAGAATAAATTAAACCACAGATAGAGGGATCTTCTGCACAAATCTGTACTCTCAGTCCTCAGTGTCCTTCTACACATAGAAAGGAAGTTGTGTGACTGGACAGCACCATCGTCATATTCAAAGCCAGTTTGCAATCAGTAACAATTGTGTTTTCTAGCAAGAATTAAGATTTTTACCTTGAAGATTAAAGAAATTAATTTCCTTTTGCAATCTCGAAAATCTTCCTGTGCGTAGATGCAAATGCCGTCACCCTGATAACGTGCATCTTAATTATTACTGATCTGTCCACTTTGCAAATCAAAATCCGTCTTGCAAAGCAAAGCACCCCTGGGCGACACTGATCGCTCACCAACTGAGACGATGCCACACACTTTAAACGCTGATTCTTCTTCTGAAATGTGGCCCAGTCTGACCTTTTCCCTGACAGAATGTTCTAGAAGTTACTCTGTGGAAGGCCCCTGTGTCGGTGTGTCATATGATGGGTGGCATGTCACAGGCTCCCTCGAAGGCTCTCTTGAAGCCCATACATTCGTGAAAAGACCCCAGTGAGCACCATAATGATCAGGACAGAGGAATATGGGCCTCTTACATGAAGCTGCCTTTCTGTTGAGCCCAGGAGACCAAACTGGTCTAATAACTGTAACCAAAAGGCAAGAGGTGCCATTAAAACAGTCTAGGCTGGAATATCTATACCATTAAAGCAAGTTAGGCCAGAATATCAATACCATCAAAACAATCTAGGCCAGAATATCTATGCCGTGGGCACAGAGACCCACCATCCTGTGCCCGGATCTAACAACTCGAGCGGCACATGGGGGCTCTCTGGCACCCTCCTGCCTCCGCACAGCCCGATAATTGGTTCGAACTGCGGTGAGAGCCTTTAACCTACAGCGCCGAGAGTGACAAATGGATCCTTAATTGAATGGAGTTTTTCTGAAGCGGTGGCCCGACGTGACAGACAGCTGAAAAATGGATCAGGAAGCTGTGAGCGTGGCGAGGAAGGCGCTATGACGGAGAAAAGGGGAATCCTGCCGCCGCTCTGCTCGGCGCACCTCGGAAGAGCGAGAGGAAGGGGGCGAGGCAAACGCACATGTGTGTTAGGGACACGCCTCACTGTACGCGACGTGCTCAAATGCCTCGAAATGGGCACTCCGTGTGCTGGGAATCTCAGGATGGCACAAAAATTCAGGACTGCCACTTGAGACGTTCCGTGTTTTCGAAGCGCGGGCTGAGCTACATGGCCGACCCACAGAGCTCCTGCTATGCAGCTGAATTAATCCGTTTATCCGGCTGGACCGGGAATGGTTCTCAGGGGTACAAAAGTAAGATCCCACCCGTGACCTGCAACCTTCGGGAGACAAGTTCCGGCCATTAGCTGCTATGCTATGCTGTCTGATAAGACCGATAACTTAATATGTTATTAAATCCCACCCCTCCCCAATAATCTCCAGTCCCACCCAGGTCTGGCCACTTCTCTGTGGTTCCATTGACACCAGATTGAAGGTTCTGGAGCAGTTCTCCTGAAGCTCGCATGGATGTCACGCGTGTTAGCCTGTGCCAGACCTACTCCTCAAGTCCGCTCCTCCTGCAGACTCACACCCTGACGCCTTGCTCTGTCCGGCCAACGAAGGAAAAACGTCCATGCCGTGAAGAAGGACGTGTCCCTCTAGGGCCCGGATCCACATGTCCAGGTTCGGTGCATTTCCTGTTCCTGTAACATTACAGCCCATCCACAATTACCCCTCAATGCTGTGTGAAATATCACAGCAATTAAAATAAACCAGAGCCACAATCCGGCGCTCTGCCAGTCCACAGAGCAAAGTGGAGATTAGCCTTTTTTCCAGTGAAGGGTAGGAAGTTTTGAGAGAATGACTGATTTAATCTTAGATGATTAAAAAAATATCTGATCCATCACTTAGCGATTCGTCGGGGAAGGGGTTTTGATGGGGGTGCATGTCGATGGCGGTGTGTTTCTCCAGCGAAAGATAGGTGTTTATCTTGATTAGCCTTCCGCTGCCGTGCCAGTTTTAATCAGGGTAATCCAATTAAACTTGTTTCCCCATTCAAAAGTGGAGAAGCAAACATTTCAAATGGGAAGCAATCGTCTCACGGCCTGAACCACGCATCCCCCTAACATCGTTTCTAAGCTAAAACACGCTCCGTTTACTTAGAAAGGGATGAAAGGAACGACCAACTACTTTGACTGGAGACCAGCATCACCGTCAGGCAGATTTTAGACATACGTTTCTTCTAAGCAGTGTTTGCAGGATACAGCTCTGAGGGATACAACACACGGATTTATTAGCATGGGGGCGGACCTGATGTTCTCAGCCATGGGAGAGGGTCCATATGAAGTCAAAGCTTTGATTCCCATCAATCTGGTTATGGGTTTGTGGGCGACTACAAATCATCAGGAGGGTGTTTACAAAGCGGCACATTAAGTAAAGCAAAGCCTGGGATGCCCAGGAAAGGCACCGAAACACTCCAGAAGCAAGGTGAGCGTCTCGCTGCTAAGCTAAGAGCTCACAGGCATGGGATCAATCATAATTCCTTCCCATAGAAACTTCATCTTGGTTTCTGTCACACGTGGGAGGCAAGACTCAGCTGGCTGGGATTTAATAACCCCCCCCCATCCCATTTAAAGCTTGAACATAAAGCCATTATAGCATAAAGATGAGTAAATCGTACACACGCCTCCATTAGCGTATGTTTCCGCCGCAGCCATTTAGGAATAATGCAGATTTTTGCGGGTAGCAGAAGGCTTGGTGGCTGGGTCCAGGTCTGCCGAGGTAAGGCTCTCGCAATAGCGAAGGTGGGGGGGGATTTTGAATTGTCAGAAGGGTGGTTACAATCCTGCCAAAGCTGCTCTCAATGTCTTTAACTGGCAGTATGGGACACCACGCTTTACTAATCGCCACGCTCAAAAGACTAAACCTGGCCATGAATGAAGGTTTTGATTGGTCAGTAAATTTAGCTGAATTTATGGTTCCACTCTTAAAGTCCAGGCTAGTGTTACCTAATCACTAGCTAACAGGCTAATTAGCTAACTAGCTAATTACAGAGACGTTTATGTACTATTTAAATCCGTAAATTACATTAATTAGGACCCAAAGCGGGAAAATAACATTATTGCATTCATCACGTCGCAGATGCAGTTATTAAAACTCGATAGTCTGACAAGCCGGTCATTGGATTAGATCAGATTGACTGGGCTTCTGGTCTTACCAGCAAAGGCACGGGAGAAGACGGAGGTGCTTCGTCTCAAAACGGATTAAAAAAACAGGAGGCAACAGGACGCGTGGAACGTAGAAGCCAGAGCTGAAAAGTTGAGATCAGCTTGCAGCTTTCTGTCCCATGAGAGACAGCTAGGGATTCCGCATGGCTGGTCAGCGCCACGCTCCTGCTGCAGTGCAGGAAGAAGGTTACTTGTTTACGGCCATGATGTTCCATCGCATGTTGAATTTTTGATGGATTCTCCATTGCTCCGCAAATTAATCACCGAGGCTGTGGGCTTATTATGAAACCTTCATATTAATTTAATCACACTTCACGGGACACCCGGGTCGTGCCACATTGATCAATATCAATATTTACTTTTGCTTTTGTTTCAGTACCTCACAGGAAGTTGATTTAAACATGTTTAATTGCTTTGCAGGTGCTAGGGGGTGGGCTTCCATTTTTGTGCCTCCACGATGAACATGCCTGAAATACATGCTGTATGGTTTGGGAATTCTTTCTATAAATTCTTCTGCTCTTTCTAAAAAGATAAAGCTACCTAACTAGGTGTCTGAGTGAGGATAGACGTCATTAACTGCGTCCCCACAGAATTCCCAAATGAAAACGTAGATGAATATGTTTGTTACCACACCAGATGGGGGCGCTCTTCTAACCCAGGGGATAAATAATTGGGGCTTGGAAGCCCCAGATTTTCATACATTGTCTGTGTTTCTTTAATGGTCTTCATTTTTTAACGAACAAGAGAGAGTTCCCGGTTAATTACCTGCTCCGTTTCCAGGTGACATCCAAGGGGCTAACTGGGAGGACTGGAGATTCCCAGTGGACCAGCTTACCCAGTTCACCCCCCACCCTCCCAGGACGAGTGGGAATGGCTTCCTGGAAGTTGGAAAAGCAGAGCGTTTGAGTCTCTCATCCTGTTAGTCTGGCCACCAGAAAAGGAGAAAATGTAAGACAGCAAGCAGCTTTTGAAAAACTGCCATTAAATTACACGGAAAACCTTTTTGAATGAATCACTAGAAAAACAACCTTCTGACACTGTTCTATGTCCCGAAAAAAGCAGCCGAACAAGAAAAAAAGTGTTTATTTCAATGTCTGCGTTGTAAGTGTCAAGAATTAAAACAAGACTCAGCTGATGGTGAAGACTTTATTGGTGAGACATCATGCTTAGAATAACAAAGAATGAGTCACAGTGCCAAAAGTGCATTAAGAACTGGCTGATCCTCAGCATCACAGGCGATCACAGCGTCCACGGCCACGAACCATGGCCTCCTCTGCATTTACCCTGTAAGTGTAGCTCCTCTATCACAGCCGGCCCATTTGTATCTCTTACAAACGATGCCAACTGGACCCTCATTAGAGCCCCACATTTGTTAAAGGCAGCCCGTGTCGTGAAACAGCCCCACGGACTATCAGTCATCCAGTTCAAAAACAAAGGCATTTCCGATTTCACCGTAACTATCCCAAATATTTCTGAATAATCGATCTTTACGGGGAGGGGACGTAGTAGTCTACAATCTCAGAGGTCTAAAATCCCAGAGTGGCCTGATGTTGGATCTTGAGAAGGTGCCTAACCTGGATTTTTTAAAAATCCCAGCTCGATAACTAGCTGTGATCTGCTTCTCATCCATGCATCAGCAATGGCAGTCGGTAGCTCGGCCTGGGACAGGAGTTCCTGAGGGACAATCACACCTGCTGGACCTTTGACGGTGACATGACTGCATGGTGACAGAGGGTGACAGGCAGTTGGTGCCTAACCCCGTGCCCGCTGGCTTGAAAACCGGCATGGTGGATTCCGGACAGACGGATGACGTCTGCATTCCCCACCCCGACATCAACGCCGTGGCACGCGTGCAAACAGATCCGTTAAGTGCATTGTTCGGTAAGAGAATCCCCAGAATTGCCCCCCCTCCCCACCCACGAAAAACCCAGCTCCCATGTCCTTGCCTGCACCTGTCTAATGGCACAGCCCCCCCAGACAGTGCCAGCTGCCCCCCCTCCAGTGGGGGCCGGAATAAAGAGCCTGTCTTTTCTTGGGCGAAGGCGTTCTCGGAATTGCCGGGACAGCCGGGTGTGATTTAACGACCACTTTCATTTCCGCTACAGTTGTCCAGCGGGTGGCCGGCTGGATCGTCACCCTTCCCAAGACTTATTCGTGCTTTATGAATTTCCATGCTTTTGCCAGATGTTCCATACACTGTGATCTTTAAGAGAGGGGCTATATTAAGATAAATACCTCCCGTTGGCCTTTTTCATAAAATTCCAACCAAATGATATAGCATAACAGCACATTCTACTTGTTAAATTATTCATTTGTCCTTATCCTGGAATCAAATCCCATGTTTAACTTTTACTTACAGAAGAACATAAGATTAACCCTTCTGGAGGACACACCAGCACACTCTCTCAAACACAACACAACCAGTGGGTCACAGGTAGCTACATTTATCTAGCTACATTTCCCAAAGAGAAGTAATCAATGTATACATCAGCATCCAAGTTGGGACCCCTAGACGGTCCACATTTTTGCCGTCTACCAACTCCCAGGGAATATAAACGTGGCCCAACTGGGAATCCCCAAGGACTGGATTGAGAAACACTGGTCTAAATCACTGTCCAGCTCCACCCTGATGGTGACATCGCCCCCTGGGGGCACAACAGGAGATTAACTGGTTCCCTGAGATTACAGAGAAATCCTCTTCCCTGCAAAGGCACGAGAGTGGCCAGGTCACCACTGATGTGTGTTGCTGTTTCTCTTCGTGCCACGACTGTTAGCTACTTATCTTCAGTAAGAGGTCCCCAACCACCACGAGGCAGATGTCACGGCAACCGGAATGACCGTGGAGACATGTGATGTCATTACTTCCGGCATTGCACGAGCAAGTCCGACATCCAATAATGCTCTGCGAGACTCATCTCCCCAAATACGGTTTGAGATGATTGAAAGCTTTTTTATTTGGAAGAGTATTCTTTTAAGCTAAGTGCTCTCCAAGATCATCCCATCTAGGAAATTCAATTGCTCCATTTTTGAAATGTTAGCTGCCCCAAATGATATCAAATCCTAATGTCTTAATAGAAACACATGGAATTGGATTGTTGACTGTGCGCCTAATGTCATTGGGGAATGTAATTTTCTGATGGTGTTTCCTTAGTCCATCTCACAAAAAAAAGAACACAAGACTGATCAAAATTGCAATGAGTAATTTGCAGAAGTGGACTTTAGCTCCGCTGATGGATATATTTGGGGGTTAAAAAGCCTCCTCTGCTAACTAAATGAAAGTAATGTTTCTGCATCTGATAAAAAGTCATATTAGGGGAGCTCTGACATGCCGGCGTACCACGGTAAAGTACTCGTAACATCGATTTGACTTCCGACGCACTACCTTGGCTGTGTGCTCCAAGTGCAGTGCAAAACACCAGCATTTTAAAAAGAATATATTTGAGATAAAGATACGGACATCTTGGGGTGTGTGGCTCGGTAGGGTAAGACTCTGTCTCCATGTTTGGGAGGTTAAATCCCAGGGCCACCAGACACCATTGGGCCCCCAATGGCTTCTAGGATGTTTCTTACTGGATGACTCTGCACTGTGATCCCCCAAGATCATTTTCAGTTGTTTGTGTCTCTCACGATGTACAAGATGGGCCAGATGAAAAGACAATTTCCCGACGGGGATGAAGTAAAATACCTCTGTTCTATTAACCGCTTTTCCTGTGCAAGGTAGCAAGCAAGCTGGAGCCTCGCCCAGCAAAGGCAAGATGGGTGACGCAACCAAACACTCCTACTGCACTGGATTTTGTTCGCTGTCCATGACATCACTTGGGCATTGACGGATGATGGCCCATTATTACCCGTGCACACGGCCTTATCAGGGCACCGTGAATGTCCAGGTTAATTGTCAGGCTTTGAACTTTTTTAGCCCAACAACAACGGAGGGTTGTGTCATCATCAGTCCCCCTCTATCATCCTCAGTCCCCTGGTCCTCCTCCATCCTCCTCTGTTCCCTGGTGCTCCTCCATCCTCCTCTGTCCCCCGGTCCTCCTCCATCGTCCTCCGTCCCCTGGTCCTCCTCCGTCCTCCTCTGTTCCCCGGTCCTCCTACCTCCTCCTATATCCCCTGGTCCTCCTCCGTCCTCCTCTGTTCCCTGGTACTCCACCATCTTCCTCTGTCCCCCAGTCCTCCTCCATCCTCCTCCGTTCCCTGGTCCTCCTCCGTTCCCCGGTCCTCCTACCTCCTCCTATATCCCCTGATCCTCCTCCGTCCTCCTCTGTTCCCCGGTCCTCCTACCTCCTCCTATATCCCCTGGTCCTCCTCCGTCCTCCTCTGTTCCCCGGTCCTCCTACCTCCTCCTACATCCCCTGGTCCTCCTCTGTCCCCCGGTACTCCACCATCTTCCTCAGTCCCCCAGTCCTCCTCCATCCTCCTCTGATCCCTGGTCCTCCTACCTCCTCCTTCATCCCCTGGTCCTCCTCCGTCCTCCCCTGTCCCCTGGTGCTACACCATCTTCCTCTGTCCCCCAGTCCTCCTCTATCATCCTCTGCCCCCTGATCCTCCTCCATTCTTCTCTGTCCCCCGGTCCTCCTCCATTCTCCCCCGTCCCCCGGTCGTCCTCTGTCCACCTCCGCTCCTATGTTTGGGATCATGCGCTCGCACAAAGTGGTTTCCGCGGCTCCACTCTATTAGGAATGTCAAGCGTACAGGGCTACAGGGTGCTAATTAGGTCGCTCTCACTGGAGACGACAGCCGTCCACTTGAGGGCGAGGGAGCGGTGAGTCACTCTCATCACAGCACACCTGAAATGCTATTAATCTGCAGCTAATTAAAGGATCCCTAATGTCAGGAGATATTCATCTAAATTTTAAAGACAATAACATAGCCGCAATCATTTTATTTGAGAAATTCAATTACTTTTTATAATAAATATTTGAAAGGTTAAGTGATTTGAGCATGATCACCAAAACACTTCAATCATGTTCAGACCTTCTCCTTCCATTCTGAGGCTTTGATGCAAATTAGTCAATTAGCTATTATAGATCACAAACCATCACAAAAACGGCCATGATGGTTCCTAAGCTTTGTGGATAATAGTTCTTCTTTATTTTCCAAAAGATTTTACTGAAACAATTTAATGCTCGTTCTAATTGTATTTGCTGGACCCATAAGCCAGTTATGTGAATGTGAATCTGAACATAATCAGTGTCATTACAGTCGTATTCACATTCTGTGACATTTACCTGCCATCCACTGAAGGTCACCGTTCCTGGTTCTCCTCGTTCTTTACGATCGGGAAACAAGGAGCTGCCCATCGCGAAATTCAGTTGCCCTTTGACCCCTGCACTGCCCAGCCCTAGGACATCTTGATGGCCATAAAAAATCTGGAACATAATTGGATTGTTCTGGGGTGGGGGCCCAGTTTGATATGCCTTCATGGGGCCCAGAATCTCTAGTGGAACCCCTGGGCTCAGGATGTAGGAACCTGGAAGAGATCAGGAAAACAAAGACCTACATCCATCAAGCCTGGGGGGTGGCTGGTTACACGCGGAGCAGGGACCAGTGGCATCCCGACACCCCCGCGTCCGTGGACACTGCGACAGAGCACCGTGACAGGATGGTGAACAAGAGCAGAGCCTCATCCCAGAAGCAGAAATATAAGCAAACTTAACACCCGCCCTGGTGACTCACAGTCACTTCGGTTCCTCTGCCCTGCACACCATCCTCCGCCGCTCCCTTCTGGATGGTGATGGAATTGGCAGCAGGTTCGGAGCTGCGTCAAGCTGCCAAGCTGGGGGGGGGAGGGAGCTGGGGGGGTCACACTGGCACGTTAAACACGTCCTCAGCATCGCGAGACTGAGCACTGAGTCAAAGCCCTGATGAATAAAGAGTTTGGAGCCAAAAAGTTATAGACGAGGTGTTTATTTTAATGCATGTAATGTATTGAAGTTCTCGGCTAAGAAGGTTTAATTTATGAGGTGTCATCACAGGCTTTTAGCTGAACCTGACTCTGAGAGCACAAACAGTCCACAGAGCTGCTTGCGGCTCATTCCTGGCACTTCAGCTCCATCCCAGCATCCTCCCCACTCTTCCCAGTACATTGTCCAGTTTCCCATGTCCTGCTAGGGAACCACCAGCTTCTGAAAATGCGCGACTGCAGAATGTCAGGTGCAGGTAAACGCACTAGGAGACATAGGCGGCTGCCTAGAGCGCCGTCTTCTCAGGGGGGCCCTGACCCAGTGAGCCAATGTTTCTTTGTCTCCAACAGGGGGCGCCGGCGGTCACGCCTGCCTAGGGCATCACACGTCTATGCAAAGACAGGATCTCAGGCCTATGGGGAAAAATCCAGAAAGGCCTCAGTCACCTACTGCTAATCAAGCCCGCTGGAATTTTCTATAAATCCCAGCACGCCGCGGTGCGTGGCGACACGTTTGATTTACACGCCGCGTCCCTCACCGAGCCACTGCTTACCTCTTCCAATAAACGGGACAATTAAGTCAAGGTTAGACATTTCAGGTCAATTCTTCCTGTTCATTAAATGTGAAGAGTAACCAGGCACAAATAAAATACCAAACCTTAGCTCTTCAATTAAGATAATGTTTTAAGTATCTCTTTAAATAGCCGCTGTGACAGACTAGCAGGGAGTCGAGGGATATATATTACAGTGGTATTAAAAGCCTTTACACGACTGAAGACATTTATTCCTTCTGTAAATTCTTCCTTTGCTAAGTAACAAATGTTAAGGTGACTTTACAAGGGCATCCTTTCGGCGTTTAAAGGCTCCAGGAGAAGGTAAAATGAAGTGTTTCAGCGTGCACCTTCCCCTCTTTATCTGTTTATTGTTACCTGTTTACTGTTTAATTAAAGTCCGCCCGTGAAAACCAGTAAAACCCAGTAAAGTGACCGGCATTAGCAGCTGTCACGGACCTGAATGGCGCACCAAATACCAGACCCACCGGGTATAATTTCTGGGCCTGGGACAAAATTTCATCAACCAAGCTGCGCAGACCCCCCCCCCCCCCCCACGAACGCCCCTCCCCCGAACTTCATCCCCCCCCCCCCCAACAGAGCCCTCCATGCACCCAATTGTCCCCCCCCCCCCCAAGACAGTGGGAGTCTAAGACAGGTGGGCTAGTTAAAGAATTCAGCTTATGACGAGTCATATAACTGGGTTAAACGGACGGAAGAGTAAGGCTGTATTCGAATATGTAATTCAGTGTAATAGTGTAATACAGTTATGCCACCAGTGGAGATATATCACGCTGCCCAGCAATGACACAATCCACTTTTAATTTGGCACAATTTTTGAGCCAAAAATATGGCAATTACACATGGAAATTACACACTGAAATTCCTCAATTACGCACTGATCTTCAAGAAAGATATCAGTTTATTACTTTATCGGCAGTACTTTGGGTTCTGACACAAACCCGCTCTCTTTATGTAAATCACTAAACTCCTGCACACGTCACTCAGTGAATTACAGGGCCGGGAGACTTGTTAGAGGGAGACTCTGTGTTAATTAATTCTGCTGCATACGCCAATTAGGCTGCTTGATAAGTTAGTCAGAGATGGAGGCGCCCACCACGCATTGGGTTTGGGGCTGCATAATGGGATCATGTGACTCATTATGATAATGAGATCATGTGACTGATAATGATAATACTATCGTACAGCTGATTATAATAATGAGATCATGTGACTGATTAAGGTAATGGCATCACGTGACATGTGACTGTGCTGGTGTGATACTGTGATTCCCTCTGCCTAACTCCCCCCCCCCCAGTGAAGTGTGACAGTGTGGTTCCAGCACCACAGTGACACGTCCTATTAGTCCTCCTGTTATTTGTGATTTGTTTGCCTGCTCACAACCTGCAGCATGGGTGCGGCCAGTTCAAGGGGGGGGGATGTTTTTTGCGAGGTAGGGGGAGGGATTTGGTGGCGGGATGAGGACACTGCTCTTAATTACTTCCCAGAGGGGGGTGGCCTGTCGGTAAAATATGGGAAGTAAATTTCCTTTCATTAGTCGGCCTTGTTTATGGAAAGCTTCTATAAACATTGCCCCCCCCCCCTCCGGCCCCCCATCCCATGACCCACCACCCCGTGCGAATGCAAAGACACCGGACAGATCGGTGCAAGATTAATGGCACACAATAAGTCTGCTGATTACAGAGGAGCACTTTAATAAACTCCTCCGGCCAGAAATCATTTAATGCATTCATAGCCATGAAGCCGATTCCGTAGTCAGCTTGACCACCTCCGTAGTAACACAGGAAACTGAAATTTGCCAGATAAAGAGAGAATGGAAGGTAGATAATTATCTCTACAGCTTGACAAATGAAACAATGGTTATGTGAGTACATGCTCCAGGGCTCCGTACACAGGGAACTTATTAACGGTCAGCACACTGTCACCTCGTACTTCCCATAAATATTTAGTCCCGATTCTTAGTGATGCACAACGTTAAGATCGCCACACTCTGCATGTAAACAGGACTAGATTTTGATGTTAAGGCTCCTATCGTGAACTGAAAAAGATGGTTCCCCATGGGATTAGGAGGAACATCTGGAGAAAGAAGCTGATGTGGATTATGCTGACGTGGGTTTAGAGTGCAGCTGGGAGAGCCATGGAGAAGCAGATCAGTCCGACCGTGCTCAGCCTTTGTCTTCCTTCCAGAGATGTTTCCAGGTTTGTCCTTGCAGACCTTGGTTTTGTGACCTGGCAGCCAGTTAGGGAGGTTCCACATGGAGCTTAGGTTAGGGTTAGGGAGGTTCCACATGGAGCTTATCTCAGACGTGGTCTCCATCTCTCCATATTTCAGTACCTGACATTCACAGGAAGCTTTCTCATGTGGAGCCACCAGGCGATCAGTGGGTTAGGGCACTGTGCCTGTAATCGGAAGGTCGTTGGTTTAAATCCTAGGGTTGGAGTGATTTCATGGCCGGGCCCATGCGCAAGGTCCCTAACCCACAGCTGCTCATGGGACCAGCTGACTCCGCTTTCTCAGAAATGCAAGTTGCCTTGTATAAAAGCATCTGCTAAATAAATAAAATGTAAAAATGTCATGTCCTCACCCAAATGCTGAAGGGCGAATTTCCTGACGCCGTTTCCCCCAGGTCAGGATTAGGCTAAACCTCAAACGCTGTCAACAATACAGTGAAGCAGTGCTTTGCTTTGGGCCATCGAGCTCTCCACCTCTTTAGTGACCAAACTTCAAACCACTGTCAACAGTACAGTTAAAGCAGTGCTTCGCTTTGGGCCATCGAGCTCCACACATATTTAGTGAGCAGCAGAGATGCAGCTCAGGGTTTATTCACTCCGAACTCCCATCTCATCAGCCTCCAGTTTTGCTCCTCTTATTGTCCTTTGTTTAACAAAATAACGTTTCTGCTGAACTGAATTGGCACAGGACAGCTAGCAATGCAGGAGGCTATAAGATGAGCACAGCCAGCATCACCCTGTTCCCCTTAATACAACCCTTCCTCAGGTAAAAAGGCTATTTTAGCGAGCAGCTAATACCATGTGACTATCTTAGAGAACATCAACGGATGGTGATTTGATTCTGCTCGATAATCATAGTGTAGTCAAGAGGCAAAAAAAATCCATTACACTCGTGATACCCACCCCCCACCATATAACGGTGTGTCAGCCCGATGGTTGTACACCCAAGATGAAGTTGTTTAACCCAATCCTAACATGACAATTAGGGAGCTGTAATCTGCAACTTATTCTGACTTTTTTTTTAAATTCCAGCCTTCACTCTTAAGGTTCTCCTGCTGACATAAACAGCAGCAGATATTCAATATCACACAAACCGCACATTTGCATGGGGCCCCTGAGGTTTAGCCCCCTGTTGGCCACAAACAGTCACTACACTAAATAATAAGTGAATTCCTTATTTACGTAGGAGATGCTTGTTCTGCTAACCAGCTACCAACTAGTTATTTATTTACTTTTTACCTTTCTTTGTAAAGGGCTTTTTTTGTATATTTCTATTATTCTGTTTCTGGGGCCAAAGTGACTTTTTAGGGGAGCCCCAGAAATGTGACCGATGAGAAGCCAAGTGTTTGTCACGCAGTCACATGATTAAATGGGTATAAGATTTCTACCCTCACAGGCTTGATATCCCTCTGCTGCCCACAGAGTCATTTGCATCATCCAGTATTCCAGTACAGGGGATTTACTGAGTAACCAAAACCAGTTCCCTATTTGTGATGCATTGTTTAATTTCAGGTCACCATTGTAGGTGTATCTCCTGACCGACTCACCTGGATTTATGGAGGAGCCTGGTCAGAAGGTCTGCCACAGCCTGGAGGAGGACATGGTTAAGACATGATGTTTTCATGTAAATGGAAAACAAAAAGCACATTTTAACCGTACAGGGGTATGGAGTGCTGATAAAGATACATGATCTGTAATCTGAGACTTGGGGAAGAAACCTTAGGCTGCAGGAGGCCCAACTGCTCAGTCCTGGTCATCAGACTTTCTAGAAGAGCCTGGAAGGCACTGGAAATTCTAACCTCTCGCTTATTGATTAACATTGTTTAAAATTACGCCACACATGATGAGTGAAGCTTGCTTCTTCATTCAGGTATTTCTTCTAGATCTTTGTACATATAGATTTCCCATGATTCCTGGCTTGGCCTGGACGGGGAACGTCCCCAGGCCTAGTAAACTTGTCCCGCCCCTGTGAACAGGCCGCCACACCTTTGATCCCTCGGGATATTCGCTGAAGAGGAGGGACCTGCCATGTTCTTACAGAGCCCCTTGATGTTTCTAATCTGACTGAATGTTTACAGCCGCGTGGCCTGTTCATTAACACACCCAGACTTTTCATTAAATCCTGTTTGCATCATTCGCTCATTTTTCCCAGCTTGGGTCTGTTATTATCAGACGGCCATTAATTAAATGTTCGACTGGAAAGGATATTGATTTCTCCTGACGTTACGCCAGTTCAATAAACTATAAAGGAAATAAAACACAAATTAAAATGTAAATCCTACACACCTCTCCGCAGTTTCATAATGCCGGTAGCACTCAAACAGATGTAACTTGAGCAAATACTCAATCCGGCCATTACACCCGTTTAATTTGACTTCTCTCAGTCATAACGCAGGCTGTGTGAAAGCAGACAGATGAACAAGTTTGGAAATAGACCGATGAGAGTGTCTGACAAAACTAAATGTAATCATTTAAATTCAGTTATTCATAGGAATTCATGAGATTACTAATTATCATTTAATTATCCAAATGGTACAATAAAACTGCCACAATATGAAGGATTAGAAAGGCAACATGCTCATGTCGTAACTACTGAGTCCTACAGCATATTCCGGTGAGCATCTATACATGGCTGAAATTTCCCATTTCAAACTGTACGGGGAGGTGGGGGGCTGATATCACGCCTCCGTCTGACGTGAATAAGTAAACGCAGGTCAAATCAAGCACGGGGGAGGGGGCGCATGAAAAAAATAACCACCGCAGACGAAGCCAGGTGAGAAATGCCGTCGCTCACTCTCAGCCAATGACACAAACAGGAGTGCCCCCCCCCCCCCCCCGGAAAGTTGCTGTCTGTCACAGATGTGGATTATGTAACATTAAGCAGGACGAGGCGGCGAGTTCTCACAACGTCGGCCCCCGTGTCGACTTGCCGCTCTCGCTGGGCGCCGAAACAAGTTATTAAGTCTGCCGGCAGCAATAAGGGTGATCATATTTAAATTGAATTAAATCAATTATCTTTGATGATTTCCAAATGAAAGGTAAGACAAATTACCTTCCTCCATGCCGGCCCGCTCCTCTCCTTAATGTCTGGCCGGGTAATTAGTTACACTCTGAAAACGCACAGCCCCTATCAAGTCACATTAATGATTTTGTTGCTGAAATTAATGTAGATATTAAAAATTACATTTCTGACCATAATCTCCGTAACTCAAATTAAATATTAACGGTGGGCTGTCTATGGCCGAGATGGAATTTGTCCTCTGAAGTGTTTTTATTAATCAGCGGCGGTATGGAGGTGGCCCCCGTCCCATCTGCCCCCTGCCGCCCGCGTCCCCGCCGTCGCTCCCCGCCATTTATTTTGCGTGGCGTAATTCTATTTATAAATGAAAAAACCTTATTAAAAGGAGACAAGAAAAATTAGTTGCCGGCGTCGGCCTGGTGGCGGCGGAGCGAAATGAGCAGGCTAAGGCAAAGTGACATTTACAAATTACCTGTTAATTTAAATGGGGGTGAGGGATGGCGCTACTGAGCTGCCCTGACGGGGGGGGGGCGGCCAGTGGCCACAGAGGCCCCCCCCCAACGTGTTCTGGCTTTGGTGCTGGAGGTGTAGCGTGTTCCTGATAAACCTCATTGGAACGGTACTCTGAGGATGGAGTAGTGGACCTGTGTTGGGCTTTACTAACCCTGACCAATCCCCACCCACCACCCAGAAAAGATGGCACCGTGACCATGAGTCACAAAGGATACCCCCCCCCCCCCCCCCAAAACGTGACACCCTATTGGCCTGTCCATAATGCGACTCACTAGCATCAGGCTCAGAGAAAAGCTACCCCACCCCAGCTCATTATGACCTGCCTGGGAACACATCTGTCCACATCTGTCTCACCGGCAGAGCCGGGGATGAGGGATAATCACTCCGTCGGCCTCTCGGCTGCCGCTTGGAGGTGCCCGTTTAACCGCAGCCAAAGCAATTAAAGACAGAGCAGGTCCCCGTGCCAGTGCCGGGGCCCCTCCCAGTGCTGGGGGGGGGGAGGTGGGGGCAGTGGAAGATGAACATGGATGCAGGTCAGTTGGGAGCAGCCTGAGAGCCCCCCCCCCCCAAGCTTGGAGCCCCCTGGGAAGCCGACGCGAAGCTGCCGTCACGGTCAGCACAACGAGAGGGGCGACTCCGAGCGCTACCTGGGGTTTAAGTTTGCTCACAGCTCCACCTGCTTGTGACAAGGGGACATTGACGGTCCCTCCCACCAGATAAACCCTCAGCCGGCTCCCTCCGGTGGCCTGGGGGGAGGGGGGGGGGAGTGTCCCCTGTACTTGTGACTGACTCATAGTGCCTGTATGAAACCAGGTCTGGTATTATGACAGGTCAAGATATTAAAGATCACTGTAATACCCGCATTTTATAAACCTCAACACAACAAAGATCAGAATCAGAATAATCCCTAAAAATGTCAGCCCCCCACCCTCACCCCCCAGCCTAAATATACTCACCGACTTTTTCAAAACAATTTCGAGAATGGACTGAGAAATTTCACAGATGAAACAGCTGAAGAGGAAATAAAAACAGATGAAGTATGAAAAGAGCTAGAGAGCAGGAGAAGGCGGCAAACATCCTGCTTCCCTCTGAATGGGCGGCTTCAGAACCACTGAACGCGTTCCCGTAATTAAATGTTAAGCTTTAAGGATAATAGACCTATAAATCTCATTAAATTTAATCTCTGAAGTGCTTATAGACGCGGGTCACACGCACACACAAGCAAAGAAACATATTCATGACATTGTAAATGGAAATTGTTACAGAGGCAGGACAGTGTGAGCAACGACAAAGGGGCATTAAATCACATTTGAAAATAATAGCTCAGTAAATGCTTCTTTTAAAAGTGCAGCTTTTACAACAAACAAACAGTGTTGGGGGGGGAGGGGGGAGAAAAAGTTGTTATTTTAATGAGAACACAATTAAAGTAGCGAAAGCGTTCCAGGAGCGCTAATGTTAGTCGTTCTCCAACCTTGTGCTAACTTCAATTATCACTCACCTCTCCCATGCTTTCAGATGTAATTAAAGTAGCTTAGTTGTGCTCGACGATGCAAGCAGCTCTATTTAATCGCTAACGCTACTTTCCCAAACTATTAATGACTTTCCAGGACACGTGTTTATGCAGAATTATATCAGTAATTATCTCTGCCGCTAATTCCGCATTGCCGGGCCTGCGATTCGGGCCCTGCACCTCCTGCCCAGAGAGGAAGCTGGACCCCCCCCCTGCCCGGTTACACATGGGGGGGCCACAGAAGGCGTACAACCTGACCTGTATAGCACGAGCTCCTCAGGCAGAGTATAACGTTTAATTTACACACGAGAGCGGGACGCGGCCCTGGGAAGAGAACTCCGAATGAGAATTTGAATTAATAATCCAGAAAATTGAAGGTATTTGCAGAGCTGGCTCTGCGTATCGACACCTCCTCACTGCCCTCTCCGCTCTGCCTCCCTCACCTCCTCCCAGACGCACCTCCTCTCGCCCACAGAGAGGCTCTTGCTGGGCCCAGGTGCCAAGCGCTGGCCACGTGCGCCAGAGCCGCGCACTTCCCAAAAACTCCCCTCACCTGTGCTGATTTGCTATTTTAATAACCTGCCTCTGTTTAAGTTGCCTGGGCAACACAGGGGTCACATGGGCAAGCCCGCCGTCATGGAGCCGCAGCCTCTGTGATGATGATTTATTCAAACGCGGTTTAAAAAGCCGCAGCCTCTTCCCTCACCACCCTAATGTAGCCGCGGCCTCATTCATAACTGTCAGGAACTTATTCATCTGGACCCTGGCTTATTAAGTCGAAAATTGTACATAAAATGCATTTTCCGGCCAGAGAGCCAGAGTTCTCATTTCTGTCAACAGATACTAGCAATCAGCTTTTTTTAAGGAGCCAGGAAGGACCGGGAAGGGGGGTAGGAGCACATTGTGGATAACCGGCCCGGCAGTGTCACCTTCTGTGGGGATGCCCCACCCTTTCGGGGGTGACCGGGGCTCGGCGGATCGGGCAGCTCAATCATGACCGCGGGAGGTGGGGGGAGTGGCCATGACCATGACCCAGAGGGGACAAAAACACAACTAAAGAAACATTGAGAGGAAATGAATAAATCAGAGGAGGTGGGCCAGCACTGGGCCCTAATAACAGAGTGGCAGCGGCGGAGCGTGGCGTGTTTGGACGCTCACTGACCTCCACAGTCACATGACCACCAAATTCAAATTGCTAAGTTAGATTTTCAAGCACCAGCTGCTGCAGTAGCTCCCCATCCACCCACCTGTCCACCCCCTCATTCACCCCCTAGTCAGCCCCCATCCACCTCTATCCAGCCATTATTAATGAGTCCGATCCTGACCCCCCTTCCACTACTTGCCAAGTCCATCAGCAGGTCAAACCTTTGACCCTCATCCCTACCTCCAACGTCCATGTTCAGAGGTCAGCCCCAGGTGATGGACCGCGACCGAAGACCAGCCGACCACAACTGCAAATACAAGAAGGAGAGAGACCATGCCCATGGCAGCGGCATTGCCAGAGACGTATCTGCGGAGGAGACAAGATGTTCGGGAATATGACTGAGTCACGGAGCTGTGAAGCAGACTGCCGATCCGGGAGCCAGGCAGAAGCCAAGAATGAGAGAAATAATTAGCGTGATGAAACAGGCGCGCAAATGCATCCAAAAGGGACCAGGCAGCATGTAAATCAAGCTGCCAGCACTTTTACAGGAGACGCAGAGAGAGGAAGAGCATGAGCCTTCATCAGGCACCCGAGCGCTTTGCCGGCGAGAACCTGTCACGCGTGGCGGTGCGGATCTGACCGCCGAGCCCGTCCGCGCTCCATCGCTGTTTCATATTTCCTTTTGTTTCTTACCCAAACAGGTGTCTGATTTATCTTCAAAAGTGGCGGAGCTCGCGCTGCCGTCGGAGGGAGCTCACGTAAGTGCAAACAGAGGGGGCCTCACTCTCAACAGAGCGCGGCACCGCGGGGACCAGCTGCAAAATCGTGAGCCAACACCGTGCGACAATGCGGCACCATGGCATCTTACGCATCATTTATGACGCTGAAACAAAACAACAGCAAAGGCAGCTTCTATAAAATGCACGTAGCTGTCTTCGGACTGCCTGCCTGAAATCACACCTTCCTGGCGGATTTTACGGTAGTTTCAGTGAGAGCCCTAAGCTCCAGAGGGCAATAACAATAATAAAAATAATAGCAACAACAACAATACTCACAACAATTATTATTTTTATAGTTATTGTTATTGTGGTGGGCTGGTGTGTGGTTTAGCAGGTCCTAACAGTGTCCCAGTAATCGGAAGGTCACCGGTTTGAATCCCACGGTGAGTGCAATAATTTCACCACTGAAGCCCTTAAGCACGGTCCGTCATCCCAAATTCCTCTAGGAACTGTCTGACTCTGCTTTCTCAAAAAAAGGGTGTCGCTCTGGATAAAAGTCTCTGCTAACTAAATCTAATAATTACCCCCACCAGGGTTGTAGGGTTGAATCCCATGTTCTCTTTGTGTTCTGCAGCTCTTATCTCATTAGCAGTTAGGTTAACTGGTGTCTCAGAAGTGCCAGTATAGTATGACTGTGAGTGCAGGTGCCCTGGGAGGCCTCCCATCCATGCCCCCCCCCCCCAATGCTCTGTGCTGCCTGGGATAGGCTCCAGGCCCTCCAAGTCCCAGACTAGGATAAACAGTCAGAAGAATGTTGGTTAATGGTAACGCTTTTTTAACACGTAGGTTTCCTTCTGTGGACTGCAATACAGATGAGTGCAACGGATTATAATTCTGGTCCTGGTGCATTCTTTGACAATATGGATTACAGAAAACCCTTTGATGAGCGACTGATGACTCTGCAATCCGGGGCCATGACTATTTAATAGACTCCGCTCTCTGTGGCCGGGAGAGGACAGGAGATACGGAAAAAAAGGAAAGTAGATGCTGTAAAACAAAGTAAGAATAGCTGGTACATGTAAGTGCATTATGTCATGGCAATAAAGCGTAACTCATTACGCACCACGCCACTGCTGCAAAGGCCTTTCAGGCAAACGAATGAAAACAAGTTATCCTTGACCCACAGAAACTCACTAAAGAATTTAGCAGGAAAAAAAAACCTTACAATTAACATACCCAACCTAATTAACGTTCATATTTTTTCCTTTTCTTGTTCTCTATTCCTCTTTTGAGAAGTGCTTCATTTGAAAATATGAATTATGCAAATTGATGGCTTAGGGTAAGATGAAATTAATAGGACTTGCACAAATTAAACAATATGAAATCAAAGAGGCAGGGAATGGGAACGCGAGAGCGATTCGCTTAACAGCCCTCAACTCCAACCATTTATGCCAGATTTTTTTTTTTCCCACAAATGAACATCCAACAGTGGTATGTTACACAAACCTGCACATCCAGGCACAGCTACAAAGCTAGTGGAAATGTGAGCAGGGGATTCTGGGATATGTGCAACAATGTTACCTGGGACCAGCTATAATTTGAAGGGGGACACCCTGACATATTAAAACGTGTCACTTTCATTGGAAGGCGAAGGAAAGGCTCCATAAACAACATCTCACCTTGAAAGCATGTCTGGAAACAATCCAGACCTAGGTCCTCAGGATGGGACCCTGTGGACACTCATCTCACTAGAGCTAAAATCAAACAAGTCCTCAAACATCATGTGGACATCTGCAGCCCCACTAACAGCCTGAGCAGGCTGAGCATCAAAGCGTCTGAGTAAAGTATTAACACTCGTAGCCATTAGAGGGTCCTCTGAATTCATCCGTAATAATCAGCAAGGCTCTCTCCCATGGAAAACTCTGGAAGCATTCATTTGGCGATGATGGTTATTGAATATGTTGTTTTTTAATTGTCTGCATACTTCACAAAAAAGAAAAACAGGCTCCTCAAGGCAAGAAAACCACACACCCCCGTCGACCGCGGATGGACCCCCTGCTTGTGCCTCAGAAGGGCCCTGTTCTGACTCTCCCCGCTCTAAGAAACGCCTTAAAAAAGCCCTCCCCAATCACAGATCCTGAGAGATCCTGCCAGATAAGCGAGGCCTCCTCTCCTCCGCCGCTGGTTTATAAATCCTGGGAGTGGTCCGAATTCCGGGAGGTCAGGGGGACCGTTAAATCTCGCACAAGGCCCCCGCGGAAACTGGCAGCGCCTCGCTAAATTAAAAGCGTGGGGCGGAGCGCACAGATAAGAGTGGCTTGTAACCCAAGCCAAGGCAAACAAGGGCGGCATCGATCTTCAGCCGGAGGAACGGCTCCTTTAGCTGAAAAGGCTCCTCGTGGACTTTCTACTCTCCGAGTGAAAACACAGCCCTCCTCTCACGCCGGGTCCGCCTCAGAAAGAGGCAGAACTCGCAGCCATTCCCGTCGCTGTTATTTGTGCGGTCGCCCGTCACAGTCAGCCTCTCGCTGTACCGTGAGGGATGAAACTAATTATCCCTGTTTCATTTCCACATGAAATATCTGTGACCAAACACAGTGAAATCCTGCCGGCCTAAGAAATATATTACTTCATATGAGCAGGGAAAGATCCACGTGTGATTCATGATGGTATTCTTTTTTCATCTTCTGTTAACTTTGAAGACGACGCAGAGTTACAGCGTCGGGGCAGATTTCCAGGGAGCATCTCGTATAATGAGTAAAAATCTCGTAATTATACTTTAAGGGGACAAAAGAGTCTCGACAGGACCACCCTGTGTTTGCCTTTCCGGGCTGTAAACGGAAACACAAGATAGAACCAAAAAACTTACCGTGTCTCACGAAGAGACCGGGGGCCAGGCAGCCACCGTCACGCGACCGCGGTCCACGACCGCTTTGAGGACTCTAACGTTAAGCCCAGCGCTGACGTCATAACCAACCACACCCCCCCCCCCCAACACAGAGCCCCCATCTCTGTAAATTACATCCACATTAAAAATGGACTACAGTGAAATCTCGTTATAACGGACTTCAAGGCACCTGGCAAAACAGTCTGTTATATTCAAAGACCGTTATATCCAGAGTTGCTGTATGCCCAGAACACAACTACAGGACACCATTTACTCATGCAGCAGACACACTTGTGGTATAGATTATTATATTGTACATGTAGTAATCCAACTTTACCTGACCAGATGCGTAACTATTAATAATCCCGACTACGTATCTGCGCTGGATATCACCTGCACGCCACTCGCCTTGTAGGCGGAACCTGCATGTCCGTTACAGCCGAACAGAACTACAGCTAAAAGCGGCGCTGGGGAGCAAATTGTTTGTCCGTTATACACGATATTCCGTTATAACTGGATTTTACTGTGTTTGGAAATAAAGAGTGTATAACGGCTAACGAAAGTGAGGGGGCGCGGTCATGGCGACGCAGTGACACGGTAATGGGTCGCTCCCTGAGCCATTTTTAGCCCCCGATGCTAATGCAGTTTACTTTCTCCAGCGTGATCGATAAGAGGAAGATAAAGCGCCTCCCAGCGCCTCTTGCTCAGCGGACGACACGTTTCGCCACATTTGCCTGCCTTTCCCTCATCTTTTTCCCTGTTACGAGAAAAATCCATTTGCTAAAAGCCCTCTTTTTCCCGCTACCTGTCACAAGCCGAGAGCGACTTCACAAAGGTGCCTTTTGATCATGATTAACTGCGGAAAATCTGATTATTCCATCCTGTCGCTTTAACCCTCCCCATACACACACACACACACACACACACACACACCAGGCTGACAATAATTGTGTTTTTTCTCTTTTCTTGTTTCAGAATCATTATATTTTTTCTTTCCCTCGCCATCATGACACCATTAGGAGACTTCGGCACAAATTGAGACTGAGGACGGAGTGGGCTGTGAAGGAAGAGGGCAGCCATCGGTGAATGTGCGTGAGCAAGACGTGGTAATCCCTCCAAGTGGGGCCCTTCATTAAGGCTGGTTCCTGCCCTACAGGAAAGAGCCCCCTATTCCTCTAGCAGAAAGCAGAGCTAATCAATAGCACTTTTTTCCTTTCCTCTAATGGGCAGTCGCTGCTTTGCTTTCCCACGCCTAAAAAAGCGGCCGTAAAACGCGATTCCGCCTCAGCAACCTGGCTGATAATGCACCCCCCCCTGTTTTTTCTGAATGGCATTCGGCTAAATTGAGTATGGATTTAACATCAAAGGTTTCATTAATTTTTCAAATGAGGTATTAAAGTCGATATTTCAAATGATCACTTAAAAACTGTCCCATGAGTCTAAGAGACTGGCCACTAGGCCCAGGGGCCACTGTGTTGTTTCTAGGGCCCCACTCAGGAATACTCCCCCCCCCCCCCCCCAGTGTAGTGACTGTTTGTGGCCAACAGGGGGCCCTCAAACCTTGAGGGCCCCATGTAAGTGTTTGCGTTGAGTGGCTAGTAAGGCTCCCATTTACTGCAGAATATGAGCCGCCAGCCGAGGCCCCGACCTGGTGTGGGTTCGAGAGAGCGGGGTGGGAGTGTGGGGGCGGCTTTATTAATAGAGCATTGATTGTCCTCCAGGTAGGGATAACAGCAACCCCCCCCCAATAAGAGACCGTCACCTCATCATAGCCCCGGCACCTGAAATCGGAGGTCTGACTCACTGGCCACCGACGGCTGATGATAATTAGAGCCTGACAGAAGCCAAGGGGGGGGGGGCTTAATCTAGATCTAGAAGAACAGCTTCCTGGTGACATCACACCAAGAGCATGATATCAAAGGGGGTTTGCTTGCTGGATACTTTTCTTATTTCATATTTTTCACTCGACAAGCTTTTGTTAGGAAACGTCCTGTTAAAAAAAAAACGGATGAGGTAGCTGCGATTCGGACAACCCGAGACCTCCTGCTAATAAAATGTGACTTAATTACACGTGGCCAGACCTCAGTTTCGACATGCTGGTTGTTTTGTTTTTGCCTTGTTATCTTCCTGTCAAACTCCATGATGTGACATGATGTTCTACAGTTGTGCAGCTCTGAGTCCACAATGGCCACTGGGGCCGCCGATTCCCCAGGACCATTTGGAGGCCTGGACCGATCCAAGCAACGCCTCTTTGGGGGGAGCTTAAAGTAACACCAAAGCAGCCCCCCCCCCTCCTCAGATTGTGGAGTGGAAGCATCTGGTCAGACTCGCTCGATGGTGGGTGCGCATCGCTTCCAGATGGTGAAATTCAAAAGGAAGGAAAAAATCATGCTGCCATGGGAAGAGTTAAAATAGGATGACAGGGCATTAGATGACGATAAAGCTGCCGCAGACCTGCAGCGCAAACCTTCCTTGCTAAGCCAGCGGGAGGCTGCACCATGGACCGGAGTCACGTGGAGATGACATCATCGGCTAGTGTCAGCTGGACTGTGAGGAAACCCAAGCACAGCTCCCTGACATGTGATGCTGTCAAATCAATCCACTTTACATAGAACCTCAACCGCCTCTGCTCATGAACTCAATCAGATTGAATCCTATCGGTGATTCTGGGTTCGAACAATAATCCTGGCAGAACTCCACCAAGACAAACGTGAAAATCTAGGCTGTTTCAATACCAAGAAAGCCTGGATCGTTCTCTTGGTCTTGGCAAGACCGGTCCTTCTAACTTGCCTCAAAAAGACAAACTTGGGGCACAATGGATCATGGGATTAGTCTCATTTTGCGAGGATGCAACTGATGTATCCTTGATATTTGGGGTGGGGCAAGAATGACATCCGGGGATTTTTACTATCCTCTGTACTTCTGTTCATAGTATTGCAACTGATCTTCGTTGATGGAAGATGTACAAAATTGTACACAAGACAGATATTGAGAAACACCGGTGGTGGCCAAACGGTAGGAGGATTTGTCCATCCCCCCACAACAAAGGGGTTAAAACGCATCAGCATCCTTGGCTACGTCGCTTGACCTCATCGCCATTGCTTCCCGATCTGAAATCTGGCATCCAGACAAAACGTATCCTGACGTAAATCACAAATGAAGCGTGATAAGAAGAGATGCAGCGGCGCTCGGGATGAATCTGGGGTGGGGGGAGTTGCAGCGGCACCTGTCTGCCCAGCGAGGGCGCCCTCGAGGGTGGTGGTGGGGGGCGCTGCGACACCTCCCCCCCCCCCCCCCTGCACGCCTCATCCTTCATCCTCGCCGCCCGTAATGTCCCTTCACAAGCGCAGTTACACCTGAACACTCCGCTGATGCCAAACACCTGGCTTGACTTTCCCACTGTCCAAATGAAAAATAAGCATAATCTGCTCCTTGTGGGCACAGCGGACGGGGTACTCCGTGACAAATTGTGTCGTGTTTTTCATTTCTGCTGAATAGGAAGCGTCACGCAATTCGGCAAGAGAGATTTAATTGTTTTTTTTTTTTTTTACTCTTTTCTCTTTTCCCCAAACCGCAGCAGTCGGGAGAGGCTGCACCAGAGGAAGATGGGGGCTCCGAAATTAAGATGGATCAGGAATGCTGTCTCGTTAGCACTCGCTTCCTAAGCATTTCCCCCTGCAAATGAGGAAAACGGCCCCCATGCCTACAGGCTTGCATCATGCAGGCTTTCATAACGACCCACCTGAGGTCATTAGATCGTTTCAGGAGCGTCGTGGCCCTGGGGGGCGGGGGGCAGGGGGTTTGTGACACGCGCCACCTGCACCATGGCCATCGCACAGCAGTACACCAACTGCCAGGGGTAAACATCTTCTCCATGAGCACTTCCTGTCAGAAAGCAAACAAGGAGACTCCATAACAAGGGCTAATCGCCGTTGTGCCTGTAGCTTCCGGGATAGGGTGCGGACACCAGGCCCAACGTTGGACAAGCAGGTACAGAAAATGGATGGATGGATGATTGGATGGATAGATGGATAACTGCCTTTACCATTAAAAAAAAAATTGCCCTTCCTTTTCATTTTGTAGTTATGACCTCCTGCAATATTTCTAATGACTAAATGACAGACATCGAACTGTCTGACCGTTTCTTTGTTCGAAGCACCTTTAGAATAATTTCTAGAGAATTCCAGGCTCATGGGCCCTGACTGGGTGTCACCCCTTCTGCAGACATCTGCCCTTCACACAAGGCCTCCAGTCTCGATTCTACCTCGATTAGGCCCGGTGGTGCTGACCAAGCGAGATCCATCTGGAAAAACGGCTCCCGTCGTACGATACCATACATTTTAGCTTCGCCCCAAACCCCTGTGCGGATCGTATATTTCCTTATTTCACTTAATGGCGAAGACGCGTCTTTTCCTTCAATAGTTATCGCGGGCCCACGGATTTCGCTGTGAATAAGCGTGCTGCAATACGAAGGCAAAACTTTACTTTTGTTCTTTTACAGTGTGAATAAGTGTGCGAGTGTCAACGTCTACGCTCTGATTCATCCTGAAGGTGAGAAAAAGCTGAGTAATGATCCCGCTGATCCTGCCGGCTGATCTGGCGAATGCAAAAGCTCACAGCGTCCGATTATGTACAGACGTCATTCTGTCTCACGACTCGAACCCTAAACGCAGAGGGTAGCTTTGCTTATTGGGCACAAGCACATTTCAGATGAACTTGTAAACTTGTACCGTCTACCGTCCTTGCACGATTATGCAAGTGCTTCTGATATATTCTCTGTTGTCTTTGTGTAATGACAGGTATGAAATGTGATGTAGATTCCTCTGGGATGTACCGCGCTGCGGAAATGAATACCCGCAACGAGGACAATAAGGTCTAACTAATTAGTTTTTGCTGATAAATCCGCGTATGTGTATAATAAACGCGCATATCATAAAAATCATCATAAATGTTCCAGCTCTTCCGAAGACCAGACTGATCGGATGCTTCGGTCCAAGCAGTTAATACGGTAAACTGTGGCAGTTTCTCGGCTCAAGGTTACCTAGTAAATAAATAATTAGCTTAATGTTGTCATGTTAATGGCTGAATTAAATTGTCATGTTCAAATGAAAGGTGTCGCCGTGCGTCTCTCATGCAGGACTTTACGGCGATAATAAATTAAATGTGAGTGTAAGCCATCCGGCCTCCTGTTTAGTTAATTTATTTGACAGAAACGACGTCTGGTTTGTAAGTGCAGCAAAGCTGGCTAACAGGCTCATTTACATCAGCACTTCTTGATAATATCCGTCATGCGTGTGGGAAAGTGTTCCACTTTAAGCCTGAATAACTTTGTCCAGCTGTGGGGAACTTCAAAGTCCTTCGTCTGGGATACTGAGCTGTGCATCTCTCTCTCTCTCTCTCTCTCTCTCTCGCTCTCCCTCCCTCTCTGAAATCCATCCTGTCCTGGCTCCTACGATGATAGCTCTCGCTTTATCTTTTCCGGAAGTGGATGTCGGCAGCTTCTGGTCTGGCCGGGGCTCGCCACACCAGAGTCCAGGTGTCCCGATCTGCACTGGACTTGGCGGGGGGGAGGGGGATGCTCGTTCAGGACACTGTGTGGGGGTATCCCATTTCCCAGCATCCCTTCGGCATGAGGCCTTCATACTCCACCGCAGAATAGTTTTAATGTCCAAGCTGAACTATGACTCGATATTATATGAGCATAAGTTTCATATAAAATGTACGGCAAAAATAGAGAGAAATCCTTTTCAGATCCTGGCATAAACTAATACAGCAGTCAGAAACTGCTGTACCCCCAAAGTAACACTTAGTAACTCAGAATCCCGCTTATGAACACAGATTGGTGGAATCTCAGCCGTACTGAAAAACTAAATGCTTTCCTCCGGATGAGTCCCATCGCAAACTGAACACAGGCGTTACGATAAAAGGACAGACAATTTGTGACAAACAGTCCAACTCTGTCGCCGGGGAGATGCATCGTCGCCAAGGCGCTAAATGCACCGTGCGTCAGGTGGATAACGCCCTGCACACTGGTGTAGCCGCGGCAACGCTCGGTTTCGCACGTTAACCCACTCAGCAAACGTCGCCG